GGGGTTCTTCCTAGGAGCTGTTTTGGCATGGTGGTTAAAGCATTCAGCTGCTAACCAAAAAGTTGGCAGTTAGAAACCACCAACCTTTCTGCAGTAGTAAGATGAGGCAGTCTGCTTTTTTAAAGATTTACAGCCTTAGAAATGCTATGGGGCAGTTCTGCTCTGTTCTTCAGGGTCACTATGAGTTGGAATTGACTCAATAGCAGTGGGTTGTTTTTTTTTTTGTTTGTTTGTTTGTTTTTCAGGGTTCTTTCATTGAAACCCTTGCTCTAGTTTATTCTCTTTAATTGCTTGTCCCAATCTTTGTTTCCATCAATTAAAAAATGCATCCCAAATTTAGGTAATTTTCCTTTTAAAAAAAAAATTATCACATGGTTATAAATGAACAAAACTACATGCATTAGTTTTCTATTGCTGCATAACAAATGATCAGAAAGTTGGCTGTATGAAACAATACACATGACACATGCATTACTCACGGTTTCTGTGGGTCAGGAGTCCGGGCATGGCTTTTCTAGGTTCTCTGCTCAGGGCTCAAAAGGCTGCACAGTGTGCATCTGGAGCTTGGGGTGCTCTGCCAAGTGCATGTTGTTCTTGGCAGAATTTAGTTCCTTGCCATTGTAGGCCTGAGGCCCTCAGCTCCTAGAGGCCACCCACACTTCCTGCCATGTTGCCCTCTCCATAGGCAGTTTACATTGTAACAGCAGTCTTCTTCAAGACCAGCAGGAGAGTGCTTGCTGCCAAGTGGAGCCCAGTCATGGAAGGGCCACCATTGGTTGGAGGGAAGTCTCAGTTCCACCTCAAGAGGAAGGGGTTGTATCAAGTGTCAACATGGGGCCACCCTGGCATCTGTCTGCTACTCTACATTTTTTAAATGTAAGGGGCTCCTCTGAATCCAATAAAACTAAATTAATTTTAGATGGTCACATGGAATAGATTTCAGGAAACCTTATTTGGTCTGTGGTCATTGCTGGAGAATCATTTAATTTTTCCAGACTGTAGAAAAAAACAAAGGAGGCCTGGTGGCATGGTGGTTAAAATGCTTGGCTGCTAACCAAAAGGTTGGCAGTTGAAACCCACCAGTTGCTCCATGGGACGATGTTGCTTCTATAAAGATCACAGTCTGGAAACCCTGTGGGGCAGTTCTACTCTGTCCTATTGGGTCACTGTGACTCAGAATCAACTTGACAGCAAGGGTTTTGGGTTTGGTGGGAGAAAACAGTTGGTGATGTGACCCATGGTGAGTGTTTTATATTCCTGCAAACTGAACTGAAACATGTTGAGTCATGAAATGTTTGACCCTCTAATGCAGTGGTTCTTAGGCACTTCTCATTTTTTTTATTTCTTTTAAAAAATCTCATGTTTTGGAGACCAGCCTCAGAATGATGCATATCCTTTCAAGGCGTTCATGCACCCCCACCTTTGGCTGTCAGTTAGTTTCCTAAGTCTTTAAATGCCCTGAGCACTTCTCAGGAGCCCTGGTGGTGCAGTGGTTAAGTGCTCAGCTGCTAACCAAAGGCTGATGATTAAACCCACCAGCTGCTTCATAGGAGAAGATATGGCAATCTGCTTCCATAAAGATTTGCAGCCTTAGAAACCCTTTGGGGCAGTTCTACCCTGTCCTGCAAGGTCACTGTGAGTCACAGTTAACTTGATGGCGGCAGGTTGGGTTTGGGTTGGCACACTCATTACCTCTTCTTTTCTCCTTCCCATAGGCATGGGAGGCAGCACACCATCATGCCTTCGAAAGTCAACTACCAGGCGAACATCTGGGCTCTGAAGGAAGAGGGCTGTACACATATCATAGTGACCACAGCTTGCGGCTCCTTGAAGGAGGAGATTCAGCCTGGGGATATTGTCATTGTCGATCAGTTCATTGACAGGTGGGCAAGCACTGTACACACTTTGGGCTCTTGTAAGATTCCCTGGGTAGTCCAAATGGTTAACACATTTGGCTGCTAACTGAGAAATTGGAGGTTCAAGTTCACCCAGAGGCTCCTTGGAAGCAAGGCCTGGAGATGTACTTCCAAAAAGTCAGCCATTGCAAACCCCATGGAGCATAGTTCTACTCGTACATGTATGAAGTCACCGAGAGTTGGAGTTGACTCAACAGCAACTGGTAAAAGTTGACGCACAACCTTAACTACCACAAATGGGAACAATCTGTGGTTTTGCATGGCTGGGCAGCTGGATGTAGTTATTCCCCATGATGAGATTGTAATCACCTCCATGGTGGAATCTGCTGTGAGCAGCTAAGTAGCCTTCTGGGTGTGGTCTGCTTCCATTATGTAAGGAGAAGTTTTGTGAAAGGTTTCTAGCTTTTTGGAATATTTGGGTTCTGCATTTGGCCAAGGCTTCGTATCAGCGGCCTGCCGTCTTGCCTGCCAATCTTGGGATTGTTCCCGGACTTGACCCATTGGTGTGCCGAGTGCCTGTTGATCTTGGGACTGTGCCCATCTTGCTGACCTTGGGTTCAGCAGCCAGCAGCTGCCTGAGTTATGAGACACCTCTGACTTTAGTGGACCTGGAATAAAAGGCAAAGCTAAAGCCTAAGGTCAAGGGGCCTTTCCCCAGCCCTAGAGCTGGCACTCTGAATCTGGACTTATAGCTTCCTAACTGTAAGAGCATAAATTCCTGTTTGCTAAAGCCATCTACTCATGGTATGTCTGTTACAGCAACACTGGAGACCCAAGACACCATCCCAGGTTGATCTGTGGGAACCTAGGACAGAGGGGAGGGTGGGGCCCCAGAGTGCTTTTAAGCTTTTTATTGTGAAGATTTTTAAACAAATCCAACATAGAATAATAGCATGAACTCACAAGTTCCTAATTCCCAGCTTTGACAATTATCAATTAACCACTGCAGTGTGTAACTCTGAAAGATAAAGCCCATTGAAAACACACATTAATTAATATTTGTTTAATATCAGATATCTGGGAAGTGATCTCCTTTTCTCTAATGTCATACAAACTTGTTTTTTCACAGTTGGTTTGGTCAAATAAAGATCCAGATGGAGTCCACTCATACACACATGGGCCTAGTCAGCGTTTTGGTCAGCAGTTTATACTCCCTCTTTTTCCCTTTTTTTTTTTTTTTTGTCCTGCAGAGCCTCCCCTCGTTCTGCATTTCTAGGGACCTAAATATCCCTAAGTGATTGCAACTCTAAGTGTCATTTAGTGTTGTCTTGTGTCCCCTGTATTCCTGTAAACTGGTAGGTAGCTCTGGGGGCTTGATCAGAACTGGGCTTGATTTCCAGACAAGAATACTTCAACGTCCTCTCAGGAGGCATGAAACATCTGTTTGTTTCTTTTCATAATGTTAAGACCAATCAGTTGGTCAGCTGCCAGGACTATTTTTATTTTTTGATTGCACAAATAATATATAGTAGTCCTTTTCCATGGGAACTCTGGTAGCGTAGTGCCTAAGGCACTTGACTGCTACCAGCCATTCCTCAGAAGGAAGGTTGGGCAATCTACTTCCATAGTGATACTGCCTCAGAAACCCAAGGAAGGGTCGCTATGAGTCGGATTTGGCTCAGTGGCACATAACAACAACAATAACAAGTCCTTTTCCAAAGAGTTAAGCAGTAACAAACTGCCAAACTCCTGGGCCTTTTCTGCATTTTGAAGTAGTTGAAGAAATCACAAAGGAAAGTGGCAGTCTCCTAGGTATGAGATAGGGGCCTCTGCTCTGCTCCTTGGCCCCATGGTTGAGGGGTGGGGTGCCACCAGGTGTAGACTACTCGAGGACTCCAGTTGTGGTTGACATTCAGCCCACCTCCTCATAGCGGTCATCTCTGAGCTTGTTATACCCTTAGAGGCTCTCCTAGCACTCAGAGGTCCCAAGAGTGATTGATTGAATCTAGTTCTCTGTATCTTCTGCCTTTCAAGAGTTCATTATAATTTCTGGTCCATTGGAAGCCTTCTTGTTTCTTGATGGCATTAGGTAGGATAAATAAAATAAACTGCATTAGGTGGGATCATATGAAATTGCCCATTTTGTGGGTCTTAAATGGTCGAGTATTGACACTTTCATGTGGTTGAGTCTAACAAGTAATAGAAGATGGACTAAAGTCATTGTATGTGTCTGCCCTTCCTTCCTGTCGTGGGTTAGTGCTTGACTTCCTATGATTTGTTTTCTTAATTATTATCCAGCTTCCTCTCCAGAAGCTAAGCTATATGAAGGCAAAGACTTACCTGTCCCATTTACCACTCTAGCCCCCAGCACCCAGAGCAGTGCCTCAGTGAGAGTGGCCTGAGTATTTTTGAATGATTGAATGGACATGATTATTGGCAGAGAGGCAGACTGAGATTTGTGTTTAGAGGATATTTTGCTTGGAATCTCTATAGCCTTCTAAGTCCATCTATGTAGAAATTAATGATTTAAAATGATTGTATGATTGTTTTCAAAAGCAGAATGCAAAACTGCATGTCCAGGATGATCCATCTTTTGTATAGTATTATGTATGAGTCTGGAAAGAAAAGTCTGAATTGGGTACTAAGCCTGGGATGAATTTGTTTCTTAAACTCTGTAAGTGCATATTGCAGCATTTCCCAGATCTTTTCTCCCATGTCATAAATACAGCCAGTTCATATACTGGTTCCTTCAAGGAAGCAGTCAAGTCAGAAAGATGGAGATAGGCAGAGAACCCACATCGGCCTTGGATCTGGCTCCCCTCTCTTCTTGGCACTTAATCTTTTGGTATCTGTTTTCGGTAATGTATAATCTGCCTCTGTAGGAGCTCTGGTAGCATAGTGCCTAAGGCATCTGACTGCTAACCAGAAGGCTGGCGGTTCAAACCCACCAGCCACTGCTCGGAAGGAAGATGGGGCAATCTACTTCGGTAGTGATACCGCCTCAGAAACCCAAGGAGGGGTCGCTATGAGTCGGGTCTGACTCAATGGCACATAACAACAACAATCTGCCTCTGGCCGAACAAAGGTTCAGAGTCCCCTAGTAAGTGCCTTTTGTGGGATCTAGCACGTGTTACATGCATAGTAAATAGTGCTGTTGCTGTGTGGGGGCATGTTGGTTAGTTAACATCACTTGGTAACAAGGGAAAAGATCTGTTAAGAGGAGGACCCATAAGGGATATCATTTAATTATAAAATACACACTTGTTAGTGGCTATGAAGTCAGCTTCAACTCATGGCTACTCCCTGTACCACAGAACTAAACGTTGCCCTTCGTGCTCCGTCTTGATCATTGGCATATTTGAGTCCACTGTTGCGGTTGCTGTGTAGTGCCTTCCAGCCTGGGGCCTCATCTTCCAGCACCATATTGGTCAGTATTTTGCTGTGGTCCAAAAGGTTTTCATTAGTTCATTTTTGAACAAGGTATTTCTTCCTAGTCATCTTAACCTGGAGCTTTGGCTGAAACCTGCCTACCCATGAATGACTCGACTGATACTGGAAGTGCCAATGGCATATCTTCCAGCTTAGTAGCAACACACAGGCCACTACAGTACAGCAAACTGATGGGCAGATGGTGGAAAGTACCTAGTAAGTTCCTAAAAAAAAGAAAGAAATCTCAATAATTTTTATTTTGATGACATATTGCAGCTACGGTACTTTGGATACATTAGGTTAAGTAAGATATTAAAGCTAATTTTACCTGTTTCTTTTCACTTTTTTAATGTCTCTGCGAGAAAATTTTATATTTCATCTGTGGCTCGTGTTGTCTTTCTATTGGATGGCACATTCTGAATGACACTGCCTCTGGTGAGCATGTGGTTTCCAGTTCATCAGGCTTGGGCACGTATATGATTCACTATGGGTGTGTTTGAAGGGCTCGTAGGAGAACAAACCAGGACTATTTGCCCTTACGGTTAATATCCTCCATGTGTATACTGATAGCACATTTTATGGTCAAGGTAATCGTGGGCCATTCCTAGGAATTTAAACACTGCTCTATTGGGGCAGATTCCTGACACCACCACTTGGTGCCGTCATTGGTCACTGAATGGTGAACTGAGAGTTAGAGACTTCTGTGAGCCTGAGGTTCCCTCGGCTGTACCCACAACCCCAGCTGGTGTGACAGAGTTAAAAGTTTCACAAAGTCATAGAATCACAGGGTGCAGGGACACTGCATTAGGAGGTTGCATTTGCTTCTCTATGGCCTTGGACAATTCACTTCGCCTACCCTCTTCCAAGTCAGCAGTTGAATTCTATGGTGTCAGTCTCCTTTGCCTTGCATTGCTGAGGGCTGATCTGGAAACACACTCATTGACCTATTGCTATAGCTTTGTCGGCACATTATCGTAGAGAAAATATCCTTGTCCTAAAGTGGTTATGTGACTCGACGGCACATAACAACAACAACAACAAAGTGGTTTTCAGAGTCTAGACAGTGTTTTAATGGCTCCTCTTTTCTAGATGGCAGAACTCTCTCTACCTTCAGTGCCCACCTGAGGGGAGAAATACCAACCTATTATGTCAGGCATGCTGTGTGTTTCTGAGAGCTCATGGTTACTTAAGTGTGACAGGTGGCTCTGATTTTCATAGTTTTCTTTAAAAAAAAATAAAATAAAAACACTAAATTTCTAATCTAAAATTGAAATATGGCCTTGAAGGAATCTGGGAGGTCAGAAGCTCTTTAAGAAAATGAGGTCAGATGTTAAAGACACCAACTACCATTTGTTAACTTTCTCCTCCCCCCGCCATCAGAAACTTTACTACTTTCTTTTCTCTAGTTAAAATCACCTATAATCCCCAAAACTCTGAGGTTCAAAAAGAAGGTCATTTTTTTTTGAGCATCCTTCTTTTTCTCATGCCACATTCCAGCTATGAAATGTCTTAAAGCCTGTCCCCTTGTGAGAGAGGGGAACCGTGTACCACTGACCTTGAGACAGCAGGACAAGAGACCAGGTGGGGAGGCCTGTGGT